GGCAAGTTCGGCAATGACTTGGGGCACAGGGGTGGGCCGGATTGCACACCTTTAGACACGCTGCTCAACCAGATGCTCAGGACGTTGACACAAAGCGACCACTCAAGAAGGATACAGGGGGGGGGGGGGATTCCGGCAACTGTTCACAGTGGCTATAATTAGACAATCTGCCATCCAGTGTACATCTCCAACAGGAGATATTATTTTTATTTTGATTATCTAGTTGTTACAGACTTGTCTAACAACTGACAGACAGCTACAGATAGACTAGATCTTTGCTGTATTGCAATCTGTTCTAGGGTAATCTAAAAATAGATCTGATATTTCCTGTAGGACCTGACATTAGTTGTAACCACATCACCTAACTATTTTGTTCAGGCCGACCGAAAACAATTGTGTATCATATGCGGTTGTGTGTCATGCTAAGGTAGGATTCAGTGGGGATTCTAGTTTAGATCACTCACACTGTAGCTCATGAGTGAAGACAGCAGTGAGGAGGAGGGAAGGCTAGTGCAGCCCCTTAGGATCACACGTAGAACCGCTCTTAGTCAGCCAATCACTTTCCAGGAGTTAGCTCCTGGGGAGGAAAGGAGACTACGAAGGGAAACAAGGGAGAGGGTAGCAGCGAGGAGGATTAGGGACGCAGCAGCCAGCCTAGCGGCTGCGATGGCTACCGCCGCCTCTACGTCACAAACCTCTTCCCAGTCTTCTTCGTCAGGACCAGGGCAAAGTGGATCGGGTGCAGTTAGTCAGTCTGTTGGTTTGCAAGTCAGCCACCAGAGTCCACTCACACCTGAGGATTTAGAAATCCAACAGGCAGAAGAACTTCAAGATGAGCTGAAGTGGCAGATGGACGAAGCAGCAGAGAGGAGAAGAAAAGCCATACTCAGAAAGGCTAGACTAGGAAGTTGACTGCAGGAGCTAGGCAGACTAGAAGGACTAGATGAGGCGGCATTAGACCCTGCTGTCCGTGTGCTGCGTAATGCTTAACTATCAGTGGCAGAAGCGCAGAATGTCCAGCAGGAATTGCTGGCTGAATTGGTAGCGGGCCAGAAACAAATCCTGGCTGAACTTCGGGCTCCTCGTACAATGATGAGCCAGCCACAGTTTGTTGTAGTTCCCCCTGCGGGTCGATGCCGCAACCCACAGGGCCAACCTTTTCTCCTATGTTTGGCATGCCCCCTCCAAGTGGTTTAGTAGCAACTAGTGGTCCGGTTCATAGAGTCTCAACCGTACCATCTACAACAGTGGTCACTACAGTCCCACTGTCAAGCCAGGCCCAGGTTAGTGTGCAACAGCCTGTTTCAGTGGCTATGCAGCCGCTGCAGCAAGCCCCTGGGCCCATGCAGCCTATGCAGTGGATGCCCAAAATACCTTTGATGAGTCCCAAGCCCTTCTCTGGCGATAGGAAGAAGGATGAGGACTTAGACACCTGGGTGAGGACTGTGCCTACTTACGTAAGCACAAGCTCACCAGACCAGAGCAGGAAGTTGTAGTGGCTGCCTCCTTTTTAGAGGGGTTAGTAGCCCGCTGGTTGAATGGCTTAGTGCAGCAGCAGGGCTACAGTCAAAACTTCGATGCCTGGGCACAGGCACAGACATTGGAAGAGTTCGTACGGTCCGTGTATAACAGGTGGCATGACCCGCAAGGGGCTCAAAAGACCACCGATGCTATCAACACTCTTTGTTCCCGCAGGTTCAAGAATGTTAGAGAGCTAACGGACACCGTAAAACGTTTACTTGTGGTACCTGGTGTGTGTTATGACCAGCAGGTTCTCCTGACGGATTACCTAAGGTGCCTACCTGCAGAGGTAAGGACCAAGCTGGTTGATGAGGCCTATGTCGAACAGCACACCTTCACTATTTTTAGTAAGCTCTAGACATAGAGGCAAAGCTGGGATCCGCGCATCAAGCATCTCATGACGGTAGGAAGAGACTTCCCCAGGACTGGAAGAAGAAGGGTCAGTTGATGTTCGTTGACCATGATGGTTAAAGGACGAAGATTGACGATTTCCCAAACCTTGGGGAGGTGACAGAGCAGGATGGGGCCAGTGAGACTTCGGATGGGGGAGTCGTGGCACCCATTAAGGAAAAGGCTAGGGGGACCGGGAAAAAGAAGGTAGTACGGTCCACGGGTCAGGGCGACCAAGGAACACGCGCATGGGTGAAACTTGGTTTAGAATACGAGGTGTGGAGGGACCGAGTTGCTAGGGCCACATGTATGAACTGTGGCAACTATGGCCACACATCTAGAACGTGCCGAGGCAAGAAAGTCTTGACAAGGGTAGCCTCACCAACGGTGGTAGGACTTTCCTCGAACTCTGGTGGTGCTTCTGCGAGCACTTCGCACGGAAACACCTCGGGCCAGTAGGAGTATTAGCCGCTCTTACTCGCGCTCAAGTGGTAACGTTGCCTTCCCCACTAGAGCGTTGGCCAAGGCTAGTGACCCACACATCGCCCCGCAGACGCATTCAGACTGACCGACGCTCTGTTCGAGAGATGTGTCTGAGGCCCTAGAAGAGTTAGAGACTGAGTGGTCAGGGAAGGACCCCAGGGACTCTTGGGCGATGATCAGTAGAGGTCCAAAGGGTGAACGTTTCGTGATAGAAGTTGATGTAGGTGGCCACAAGGTTGGCGCCTTTGCAGACATAGGCTCTACACGAAACTTCATCAGTCGAGCTTGTGTGGATAGACTGCGCTTAGGGAACCAAGTACAACGGCTTAGCAGAACTGTAGCTTCTACGCTAGCCAACAAGCACCAAATGGTAATCAAGGATTATGTCAAGGACGTAGTCTGCACCTTCTCCTATGGAGGAGGGGAAGTGAGCCACAAAATCTCCTTCCTGGTTAGTGACGAACTGCCCTTTGATATGCTATTAGGCATGTACTACCTCGAGGTTTCTCAACCTCAATTTGATTGGGATAGAAAGGTGTTGATACACAAGCTTCCAACCTGTAGGACCGTTAGACTGCAAAAGTATAAAGCTAGCAGTCTAGTGGAAAACTATGGTTGCATGTGTGCCTCCTCTTTCTATAACTACTATAAGCAGAATCACGAGGAGGGCATGTACTTAGTTTTTGTTTCTGAGAAAGGGGAGGCCGTTAAATCACCCCCAGAGATAGAATCAGTCGTCGCTCAATATTCAGACCTTTTTTAGGAGCCCACAGGCGTGGTAGAAAGGGAGGTTGTCCATGCAATAGAGGTTGTCCCAGGTAGTAAGGTGCCTAGAGGACGAATCTATAGGATGTCTCCTACGAAGTTGGATGAGCTCCGCCGCCAGCTCAAGGAGTTCACAGAGAAGGGATGGATATGGCCTAGTACCTCCCCTTACGGCGCTCCAGTCCTATTCGTACCGAAGAAGGGAGGTACCCTAAGGATGTGCATTGATTATAGGGGCCTCAATGCCATCACTCTTAAGAACGCGGAGCCCCTACCCCGCATCGACGACCTCTTGGATAGAGTGCAGGGATGCCGATACTTCACCAAGATAGATCTGAAGTCCGGATACCATCAAATTGCCATTAGACCTGAGGACCAGCACAAAACCGCATTTCAGACCAGGTACGGTCCGTACGAGTTTGTGGTGATTCCCTTTGGACTATGCAATGCACCTGGTACATTCCAGCACGCGATGAACAGGATTTTTCATGACTACTTAAACAAGTTTATTGCCGTGTACCTCGACGATATTCTCATCTTTAGTAGGACTGTAGAGGAGCACGTTGAGCACTTGAAAACAGTGCTAGGTCTCCTAAGACAGCACCAGTAAAGGTTAACTTGGAGAAATGCGAGTTTGGTCGCACCAAGATCTTGTACTTGGGTCATGAAATCTCAGCGGATGGACTGAGGCCTGATGATGCCAAGGTGGCCAGCATACGTGACTGGCCCAGACCTCAAACTGTTATTGAGGTCAGATCGTTTTTGGGGATGACGGGCTACTATCGTCCGTTTGTGAAAAACTATAGTACTATAGCTTCCCCATTAACAGATCTAACTCGACTTGACACCCCGTGGGAGTGGACTGAGGAGTGTGAAGCAAGCTTCAAGAAATTGAAGTACGCTTTGACACACTACGAAGTTCTCAAACTTCCGGATCCTGATAAGCCATTTGTTGTGACCACAGACGCCAACCAATATGGCATTGGTGCGGTCCTTGCGCAACAGGATGGGCCAAAGTTGAGACCGGTCGAGTATATGAGTAAAACGATGCCTTCTCAGAAGTTAGCTAAGTCCACATATGAGAGAGAGCTCTATGCCCTGTACAGAGCGCTAGTTCATTGGAGACACTACCTCCTAGGAAGATTCTTCTATGTGAGGTCTGACCATGAGACTTTGCGCTGGATTAAGACACAACCTGTACCATCTGACGCACTCAAAAGATGGATTCAAGTGATAGACATGTATGACTATCAACTTGATCCTATCAAGGGTACGTACAACAAAGTGGCTGATGCACTTTCACGAAGGGCAGACTAATTGGGCACGCTAGTCACTGAGTTCGGCATATCTGACGAACTCACTCGATCGCTGGTGGAAGCCTATCAAGGAGATCCAATTATGTCAGAGATCATCCGTAGATTCCAAGCAAAGGACAAAAAGACTTTGGATGAATTTACGATGGTAGATGGCTTGCTGTTTCTCGAGAAGGCAGGGAATAAAAGACTGTGTGTTGCTAATAGTGAGTCTTTGCGTAGTTTATTTTTAGGAGAATGTCATAATGCAACTGGTCATTTTGGCTATAGGAAGACATCAGCGAACTTAGTGCAGAGATTCTGCTGGCCTTCTATGATGGAAGATGCGAAACGCTATGTTGAAACCTGCCAGGTTTGTCAAAGGAACAAACCAAGGACTCAGGCTCCGCTTGGGCTGATCAAGCCCTTGCCGATCCCTGAAGGACCAGGCCAAAGTGTATCCACGGATTTCATGGACACCCTGGTGACCAGCAGGTTTGGAAAAAGACACATCTTTGTTATAGTGGATCACTTTACTAAGTATGCAAGACTAATCGCTATGCCTGAAACTGCTAAAACTGACTTTGTCATCAAACTCTTCATAGGCAACTGGGTAAGGGATTTTGGTCTACCTATGTCTATTGTTAGTGATAGGGATGTAAGATTCACGAGCGAACTGTGGCAGTCTACTGCTGAACAAATGGGCACAAAACTCCAAATGACTTCAGGGAATCATCCTGGGTCAAATGGTCAAGCGGAACAGATGAACCGAGTAGTACAACACCTGCTTAGGCACTATATCAAGCCAAGTCAGGATGACTGGGACGAGAAACCACCTCTCGTTGCCAGCCTGTACAATAACGCTGTGCATAGTACTACAGGCATGACTCCCAACCAACTGCATCTTGGTTGGAAGCCGCGACCGCCCTTGACTTTCTGCTACCAGAAAGAGAACCCACTGCAGCACCCGACAGCATAGAGTTTGCTGTCAAGTATGAACAGATGTTGCAGCAGGTCGTTGAACATATCAGGAAATCTCAGGAAGCAATGATTGCATCTGAGAATAAGCATAGACGACCTTCTAACTTTCAGGTAGGCGAGAGAGTCTGGATCAAGTCCGCTGAGCTCGGTCAGGAGTTAGGCATATCCCGCAAGCTAATGCCACAATACTTTGGGCCCTGGGAGATCTTAGACATTGTAGGAGATCAGCCAGACGGTCCTTCATATGTAATTCGCATCCCACCTCACTTACGTACCTACTCTGTGTTCCATGCCTCCAAGTTAGCACCTTTTGGTGCCACTGAGCAGTTTCCCTCCAGAAAATCAATGTTGCCCCCAACCATGGATGGCGAAGTGGACGCGGACCAGATCGTTGAGCATCGAGTGATGCTTGTTCCTCGACCATCAGGCAGAGGGCAACCTCCTAAACCGAGAATGCAGTATTGTGTGAGCTTCAAACATCATCTGCATCCTAAGGAGGATCGCTGGTTCACACGAGAAGAACTCATGAGAACAGCACCTCAAGTGATTGCAGGCTACGAAAGAGCACTCAAGGGGAAGATGCCTGCAGAATAAGAGACTTCTCAGAGGACTCACGAAGTAAAGGCGGAGGGAATGCGAGGATCAGGGTCCTCGGTAGGCCTATGGGGCCCTATTTGCAGCATTGCCCGCCCTAAGTGAAGGCGGAGGTGCCCGCCCTAAGTGAAGGCGGGCCTGGCATTTTGCAAGAGGCCCTCGACTGTCAATTTCATATTTGGGGTCCAGACAGTTGCGACGCGCCAGTTGGTTGAGAGAAACTCAGGCCGGGCAACAAAGACATTTCCACGGCCTTCCGGGCTTTTCCAAGGAATGCAGGCCCTGGGCGTGATTCGCAGCCTCATACAGAGACAGTTGGGCGCCCAACCGAACAAGGCCCAGCAGCCCAGTAGCTGCTGTACACAGGCCCAGGCCTGTGCAGCCAGGCTGCGCGAGCAGGCCAGCTCTTTCCCACTCCTGGCAGCCTCATTCAGGGACTCGCATGCTAGCGGCAGCGCTGCTGGAGCAAAGGCTCGCGGCTGCTGGCGGGCGCTGAGAGGCGAGGTGCAGCACGTGCGGTCGTGCAGGGAAGAAGGGCGCTGCTGAGGGCAGAGCCATAGCCCAGCCACCATAGCTGGTGGGCTTGGACTACAGTGAGGCCAGGGGTGGTCTTCGGGTGTAAGAGAGGACAGACGTGGGAGTAAAGACAGGGGATAGGTGAAGGATGATGATGATGATGATGTGAGGGCAGTTACCTTGTATTTGGTGATGGTCTGCATGGGCGACATCTTCAAGTACTTCGGGTTGCTGCTGACGTCAACAGTTGCATTGTCAATTAGTAGGCTGTAGTAGCTGTGTTAGGAGTAGGCTGGGCGCTGAGCGCCAAGTAGGAGAGTGAAGGGACTGGGACTCTTGTGTTGATGAGGAGAGAGTATGTTCTCCATGACATTGGTCTTCAGTACTACGAACCTCCATTGGTGTATTATTGGTGCAATGCTGCTATCTGGACACGGTGTGACTATCTGGCTTTCAATGTGATGGTGTGATCTGAAATTGTCATCTCGGTGTTGCTTATTTTCCTTGCAATAGTCTACACACACACACACATATACATATATATATATATAGTCTATAAACAGGCGATTCATAGCCTATCGTTACTGTATACATAGTGAATACGTAGTACATAGCCTATGCATTGTCGATACATAGTCTATTATAGAGTCTATACTATACATAGTGAATACGTAGTACGTAGCCTATGCATTGTCGATACATAGTCTATTATAGAGTCTATAGAATGTGTTACATAGTCTATTATACATAGTCATAGTCTATTATAGAGTCTATAGAATGTGTTACATAGTCTATTATACATAGTCTATTATAGAGTCTATAGAATGTGTTACACAGTCTATTATAG